TTCAACTTTTACTTTGAATTCTGATAATTTAGGCCAAATAATATAAGTTGGAGTTTTTACAGTGCAGAGAGATTTTACATTGGAACAAGTTAAAAGGAAAAATACATTTTATTTTTGGAACCCAAACTTTATTTTAATTAGTTCATATTTCTGCAATAAACACATTTATTATCGAACACTGATGATTTACCAATGCAGTGTTTGACCTGTGCTTTCTTTTTTTAATCAGCTCTTGATAACATGCACACCAAGGAACGTTTCCAGACTCTGAGAGACAAACATGAAGCTCTCACAGGTAATGCAGTCAGGTTCAGAAACAGTCTAAAAGGTTGAGTCTACAAGATTAAAGTCTACTCTAAACTGCATTTTGCAACACTGCAAGATCCTTTTAAAATGTGACATCTCACATCTCAGATTGTGTTTGAAACTGTCTAAAAGATTTAGTCCACAAGTCTCTGCAAACTTAAACTGGATTGATTTCAGTTCTGACAGGTGGATCCTGATATTGATCTGTTAATTATCAACTGACTGTACTGTGAAAGAGTTTCAGGTTTATAAATAAGAGACGATCCTGATGAAAATGAAATTGTTTTCATAAGAGAAAGATGCTGTGAAGTAAAATAATACAACAAGGTGCAGCAAACCAGCCCACAACCTCCTGTAGTTAAAGATAGTGTAGGGGAAATTCTTCAATAATGTTGAGAGTTGCTAGTTCTCTGAATAATTACGAACCCAGTGTGATGAATCAAATTCCTTTACTCATGCAGCATGAAGAGAAGACCTTAGCATAGATGTTCTCGCTCGATTTCCAGAATGTTCTCCCTTATATACCTTTCAGTACATCATCCAAACAAAACGCATCTGTTATCCTATTAACATCCTGCTGTAAATCTTGCATGAAAGGTTAAAGGTCTTCAACACAAATGGTGCTTTGATCTAACCCTGTGACTGTGACCAGATTCTTATTAGTCACCATAACATCACAAACCCACTAACAAAACTGTATACATTTACTACCCCACTTAAAACATTCATCTACCAGAATAGAAAGTAAGTGATGGATTTTGCCTTTCTTCCATGTTTGCATCCTCTGATGATGATTAATGAACCAGTGATGTATTGACAGATACAAGAAGTCAGATTGGCAGTATATATACCTTTGAAGTAGAAAACTGTTGCCTCTGTCTGATTGTCTCAGCTGCTCTCAGATTCAAACTCGTTCATCTCAAAGTTCCTGCTGCTTCCAAATCACACAAATATAAACAGTGATCTGTTTCACCTGACTCAAGTCTTTACTGTGATCTCTTCAAAGATGACTCGTGTACCAAATGTGACTGTGGCTGGGAGCAGCATGGAAGACAGTGTTATTATTTCTCCACCAATCGTTTAACCTGGAGTGAGAGCAGAGATGAATGCCGACAGAAAGTAGGAGATCTGGTACAGATAGACAGCAGAGAGGAGCAGGTAAAACACACTGCTGCAGGTTCATGTAGCTCACTGGCTTTATTCTCATTTGTTTTATCACATCCTTGTGTTTCCACATTAGTTAACATGGTCTCTCAGCACAGAAAAGTCATGTTACATATTGTGTTCTTCATCAACGTTTGCTGTCCAGACATTCCTGGAGCTGAGACTGAGAGAAAAAATGAACAATGATGAGGACATGTTCTGGATCGGACTGACAGACTCAGAGAAAGAGGGCACATGGTTGTGGGTAGACCGCTCACCACTGAACGAGAGGTTTGACTGTTATAAATATATTTTTTGTCAATTTCGAAAATCAAAGTTGAAGTTGAACCAGTTCTTTTTGTTCTCTTACTCTTAGTTTGACATTTTGGAGAGACAATGAGCCAAATAACTGCACAGGGAGAGATCGCGATGGAGAGGACTGTGTGAAGATGGGAATGATAACAGGAGCTCCAGATCTGAAATGTTGGTTTGATCAGTCCTGCAAAGAAGCTTACAGAAGTATTTGTGAGAGACCAGCAGAAACTGGACATTTTACTCTTCAGTGTGTCGGAAATGTAGTTTAAATGAAGTCTCAGCTTGTTAAACAATCTCAGAACAGGATACAGAATTTGGAGCAGTTTCATTTTTATATATGTAATTTTAAAATAAATGAATAAATAAGGAAACTATTAAAATGCAGTTTGTTTAATGTGCCCAACAATACTATTATATATTATATCATCAGATTATAGTTACTCATGTATTAATGGAAAAGTAGATTTTTACTGTCATAGTTTGTTGAGGTGAAGCACATTTCTAACTGTTATATATTATATTATTACATTAATTGCAGTCCATGTATATGATTATTTTCACAATTCAATGTTTTTACATGAAAAATTACTTAAACAATTATCACCAGTTTATTTTCTGTTAATCAACTAATCATTTCTGCTGTACCTGTATACTGTTGGGTAGTGTAGTATAAAATTTAGTGTAGGTTAGTGCATATTATAAGTTAGTAATCAAGTAATTACACAAAAGTTTGGCTATTATGTTGTAAGCACTATGGTTTGTTCACACAGATAACTGGAAATCAAGTAGAGGGCACTATGTTTTAAGTAATGATGATTTTGAGTGTTAAATAGAATAGATTTATATAAGCTCACAAGGATGTTAATGAAGGCATTATGTTTTAAGTTTATATGATTTCATGATAAGCACTAATAATGTTGATAAAGTAGTAAGCACCATGTTTTTTTTTTGTAAAAATTTGATTAAACGTGTGGAACATATAGAATGTGTAGTTGTAGCAAAAAAAAAATGAGCACTGATTATACCAAATGTATGTGTGTGTTTGTAACACAACTTTCTTATCATATTATAAAGTTTATAAAGTTTTAAAAAAATACAGTAAAAGACATCTGTGACATAATGGTGTAAGGAAAAGGTAATAAATGTTTTTTAAAAAAAATAGAAGTATAGTAAACTAGATTCTAATGGTGTAATCCTGATGAAAGGAGAGTAAAAAAAGAAAATATCATGGCCTACTGGTGTAGACCATGAAGTCTGTGGGTTCTATGATAAGAACATAGGCCTTAGGCGAGCAAGACACCAGTAGAATGGAGCATGGGCACAACAGAGGCAGGATAATTGGGCTGATAAGACACCAGTAGGATGGCGCATGGGCCCAACAAGGGCATGATAATTGGGAACCACAGACTGGTGAAGATTTAGGGTCTTTCCAGTGTGGAATTTACACCATTATGTCGTAGATGGAAAAGGTAGAAGATGGGCAGGACTTGTGACAGGAGGCAAGAGTATATAAGGAGAAGCTTTGTGAGGATGAATTCAGTCTTTCCATGGATGGCTCTGGCTTTGTTTGTCTGTCAAGATAATAAAGCTCTAATCTACTGCCAACTTTGATGAATCCTGATTGTTATTTTTCCACCTGAAGGAGAATAACTTTTAAACCTAATCTGGACTTAGAATTCGTATGTTGGACACAATCTTCTGATCAAAAGAGAACTCATTCTGACCAAGACCCAACAGTAGTTACATTTCTATTAAAACATAGTATTTAATAAAGTCTCTGTATCTTTATATTATATATAATCTCTCCTTTTGTAAAGTAACTAGTAACTAAAGCTTTAAAGCAGTTAATAAAAAAAAGGTTTATCACCAACATCCAACATCTATGATTAGTAAATACAATAGAAACTGTTTGGTTTAGTAGATGGAAGAAATACTTCTTCAACCAGTTTTATTTGTTTTAACTGGGTAATAACCAGTGAATGTCACTAAGTACATTTACTCAAGTACTGTACTCATGGACTATTTTTATGGCACTTTACTTTATGTTGTAATGACAACCAGTTCAAGACTATTCTAAAGTTTACTCAGAAGAGAAGAAAGTGAAGAAAATAAAAGAGGAACTGATCATGAAGGAGAAATATAAAAATACACATATATACACTGCCTTTCAAAAGTTTTAGAACACGGCAATTTTTTCAGTTTTTTATTGAAATTCAAGCAGTTCAAGCCCAATTAATAGCTTGAAATGGTACAAAAGAAAGTGGCGAACTTCCAGAGGTTAAAAAGAAAAGGTAAGGTTACCCAAACCTGAAAAATAATGTACATTTCAAAATGATAAAGACTTGAAAGTTGGTGCTACCAATTCCCACAGGTGTCACAACTTGTCTTGATTTCTTACAACCCCCTCTGTCTGCATAAAGGTAGTGTTGGAACACACTGTGGTTTGCACTGTAGAAAGTAGTGTGTTGCTACAAAAATGGCGAGAAAACCGCAATTAACAATGGAAAAGTCAAGGTGTCAGTGAGCACAGTCTCCCTCACCATCAAAAGGCACTCAGAAACTGGGGCAAACTCTGACAGGAAGAGTCAAAGCCACATCAGAATCAGATGACATTTCTGAGAGTCAACAGCTTGCGTAATAGGCGGCTCACAGGACAACAGCTTCAAGCTCAGCTTAATAGTGGTCGTAATACTGGGGCTGCTTTGTTGGATCCAGGGTGGGTGACTTGTACAGAGTGAGAGGCACCCTGAACCAAAACGGCTACCACAGCATTCTGCAGTGCCCCACAGTTCCCTCTGGTATGCACCTAGTTGGTCAGGGGTTCATCCTACAGCAAAGATAATGACCTAAAACATGAGTCCAAGCTATGCCAGAACTACCTTAGGAAAAAAGAACAAGACGGTAAGCTTGAAAGCATGGAGTGGCCAGCACAGTCACCAGACTTAAACCCCATTAAGCTGGTTTGGGATGAACTGGACAGAAGAGTGAAAGCAAAGCAACCTACAAGTGTTGCACATTTATGGGAACTTCTCCAACAGAGTTGGGAAGAACTTTCTGAATAATATTTGATTTACATTTGAAGTAATCCTTGAAGCTACAGATCTTACAAAGTTTAAAAAGTTAATTTCAACCCTTCCCCCAAACTGTGAATTCATTGTACAACAGGAAACTGACACGTTCATTCAAACCCAAAGAATAAAAAGGTTTGACTGTGGGCAAGAAGGTGATTAACAACACCCTCCCCCTAAATGTCTGAGGCAGATGTAACAGTGTACTCTGATGTTAAGTTCAGAAGAACGAAGAGAAACACCAGTGGTGAGTCTTCAACAAGATACTTCCTTAATACTTCCTAAAGCGGTTTTTATTTGTTCTAACTGGGAAACTTGATGTCCACAGTGACACAAATTATTTCTGCATTTTGGTTTTGTGCTTTTTGTCACAGAGAAAGTTTCCTCATCGACTGACAGCACTTAATCTGAAGTCAGCATCTGGAATCTGACACAATGAGCCGTCCACAGGGCTACATAGAAGGTAATAACCAGTGAATGTAACTAAGTATATTTATATATATATAACTATATTTTAAGTACTGGACTTATGGACAGTTTTAAAGGCACTTTACTTCATGTTGTAACGAAGACCAGTTTAAGAATATTCTGAGGTTTACTCAGAAGAGAAGAAAGTCCAGAGAACAAAAGAGGAACTGACCATAAGGACAAATATAAATACAAACACATATATACGTATTTATTTTAAAATTTTGTTTTCAGACAGCAGGAAATATAAATGTCAAGGTTTCCTGTTGGTCTAATGCAGCAGCCCTCTGCACTGTCGTAGTTCATGTTTCCAATTTTTCTTTCTTTTTAAAATCTCAACATTTCAAGACTTCTTTAAAATAATCACTTTAACTTGTAGAAGTACAGTATGCTACATCATCTGTCACTGTTTAACAACACATTGTTGATCAATTAAAGCTCAACAATTAACTCATTATATCTTGTTTATTGTAAAAATGAAACGCTGTGGTTTTACAGGGCGCTATGTCCCAGATTATTTCTTGGGCCGGATGAGTAACTTCCTGGAGTCTTGTTGTCAACATGAGGTTGCCAGGCAACCAGTGGAGACTCCAGGTAGTTACAGTGATAATTAGAGAGTTTTAAATATGTTCATACATTCAAACAGAGCCCGGCTAACCGTTTCCTTGTTTTGAGAACTGCAACAGTTATACAGAAAAAGAAGTTGCCAAACTTTAATTTTAAGTTTTAGAAACTAATAGGGCAGTATTTTGTATGGGTGTTCATGTTATTGTGTCCACCCTCTGCACTCATCTGTACCTGTTCTCACATCTGTTTTCCATCTCTGTCTCTTCGGGCGGCTGTGGCTCAGAGGTTGTGGGTTCGATCCCCGGCTCCTGGTGCCACATGTCGAAGTATCCTTGAGCAAGATACTAAACCCCAAATTGCTCCCGATGCCGTGCATCGCTGTGTGAGTGTGTATGAATGTTAGTTTCTGTTTGATGGACTTTGCCATCACTGAGTGAATGTGTGTGAAAGGGTGAATGTGGCACGTAATGTAAAAGCGCTTTGAGTGGTCAGGAAGACTAGAAAGGCGCTATACAAGTACAGGTCCATTTACCATTTACCATTCTACCTGTTGAACAGGTGAAGCTCCAGCCTCCCAACATCGCTCAGGGTCAAATGGAGGGTCAAAGGTCAGATCAGAGAGAGTGGCCCTGCTGGTTGTCAGCGCTCTCCTGGCAGCTGCTGTCATTGTTATTTGCCGTCTCTGTAAGTTTGTCATGTAGATTGATGTATATTGACTTTACTTACATAAATTAATGTTACAGTCATTAACAACAGAAAATGTTTTTTACATATAACTGATAAGATTTCAAAGAGCAGAGGATGTATTGAACACATAGTGAGAATTTGTTTTTCCCTCTTCCTTTGACCTGTGCTTTCTTGTTTTAATCAGCTCTTGATAACATGCACACCAAGCAAAGTTTCCAGACTCTGAGAGAAGAGCATGAAGCTGTGAAAAGAAATCTCACAGGTAATCCAGTCAGGTTTAGAAAAGTCAAAATTAAAAGTTTACTCTAAACTGCATTTTGCAACACTGTTATATCCTTTTAAAATGTGACATCTCACATCTCAGATTGTGTTTGAAACTGTCTAAAAGATTTAGTCCACAAGTCTCTGCAAGTCCCATTTTTTTGTTAAACTGGATTGTTTTCAGTTCTGACAGGTGGACCCTGATATTGATCTGTTGATTATCAACTGACTGTACTGTGAAAGAGTTTCAGGTTCAGATTCATAAATAAGAGACGATCCTGATGAAAGTGAAATTGTTTTCATAACAGAGAGACACTGTGAAGTAAAATCATGCAACACGGTGCAGCAAACCAGCCCACAACCTCCTGTAGTAAAAGGAAAGAAAGTGATGGATTCTGCCTTTCTTCCATGTTTGCATCCTCTGATGATGATTAAAGAACCAGTGATGTATTGACAGATACAAGAAGTCAGATTGGCAGTATATATACCTGTGAAGTAGAAAACTGTTGTCTCTGTCTGATTGTCTCAGCTGCTCTCAAATTCAAACTCGTTCATCTCAAAGTTCCTGCTGCTTCCAAATCACACAAATATAAACAGTGATCTGTTTCACCTGACTCAAGTCTTTACTGTGATCTCTTCAAAGATGACCCATGTCCAAAATGTGAATATGGCTGGGAGCAAGATGGAAGACAGTGTTATTATTTCTCCATCAATCGTTCAACCTGGAGTGAGAGCAGAGATGAATGCCGACAGAAAGGAGGAGATCTGGTTCAGATAGACAGCAGAGAGGAGCAGGTAAAACACACTGCTGCAGGTTCATGTAGCTCACTGGCTTTATTCTCATTTGTTTTATCACATCCTTGTGTTTCCACATTAGTTAACATGGTCTCTCAGCACAGAAAAGTCATGTTACATTTTGTGTTTTTCATCAACTTTTCCTGTCCAGACATTCCTGGAGCTGAAACTGAGAGAAAAAATGAACTTTGATGAGGACAAATTCTGGATCGGACTGACAGACTCAGAGAAAGAGGGCACATGGTTGTGGGTAGACGGCTCACTACTGAACGAGAGGTTTGACTGTTATAAATATATTTTTTGTCAGTTTCGAAATTCAAAGTCATCAGTTTTATTGAACCAGTTCTCTTGTTCTCTAACTCTTAGTTTGACATTTTGGAACGGCAGTGAGCCAGATAACTGGACAGAGAGAGATCCTGATGGAGAGGACTGTGTGAGGATGGGAGAGAAACCAGGAGCTCCGGATCTGAACTGTTGGTTTGATGAACCCTGCAAAGTGCCTCACAGAAGTATTTGTGAGAAACCAGCAGAAACTGGACATTTTACTCTTCAGTGTGTCGGAAATGTAGTTTAAATGAAGTCTCAGCCTGTTAAACAATCTCAGTACAGGATACAGAATTTGGAGCAGTTTCATTTTTATATATGTAATGTTAAAATAAATGAATAAATAAGGAAAATATTAAAATACAGTTTGTTTAATGTGCCCAACAATACTATCATATATTATATCATCAGACTGTAGTTACTCATGTATCAATGGAAAAGCAAATTTCTACTGTCATAGTTTGTTGAAGTGGAGCTCATTTCTAACTGTTATAGATCATATTATTATATTATTTGCTGTAACTGTTGGGTAGTTACATTTATTATAAAATAAAACAAAAACCTTTTTTTTTTTGTAAAACAACTATTAACTAAAGCTGTAAAACATTTATTTACAACAAGTTTTATCTCCAATCCAACATCTACGGTTAATAAATACATTAAAAACTGTTTTTTTTAGTAGAAGGAGGAACAATAAAATGTTTGAATAAATTAGTGTTTATTGAAATTAAACAGCAATTTATTTTTGTCAATTATGTTTTTGTTTCCATTGTAGGTTACTATGATCTATATTTACCTTCTGTTCTTTATAGTTTTCTTGTTTTACTGACACAGTGTGATTTTAAATTGTTTGTTTTGGATCCAAGTACAGAATAAAGTATTTAGATTGTTTGATCATTCATAAAATGCTAGCCTCATCATTTGTCAGCATGCTCACCATGAGGTTTGCTGAGTCATTCAAAGTGACAACACAGCTGTAATAGTTCTCATTACACTTGTGTTACCCCAAAAAATGTGCACTAATGAACATGAAATGAAAGTCCAACTGTGTTGTGTTCACAAACAGAGGAATTGGACATGGATGTTTCTGCTGTCCACTGTTACTGTCGGTAGCTACGCCTCCTGACCAGTAGGTGTCTCTGTGGGACTGTGTACAGAGTGGAAGAGGACTGCAGAATGAGGGACAGAGAAGTAGAGAGGAACAGGTGGAGAAGTACAGCGGCTGCAGGTGAAACGTGGATGCTATCAGTGTTAGCAGTTGCTAAATAAAGCCCTCAAATGTTCGCTGTGTCCAGTGTTTGACTCAACAACGTAACAAACTGCTGTGTCACTGATTTCTTCAAACTGAAGAACAGATGGAGCAACGTCTGTGGCCTCAGTGTTACAGAATATGAACCATTTGTCTTTATAGAAACTAAAGGAAATGGAAACAATTATTCAAACATAAAAAATGTGACTTTGGGGAACTAGACTTTTTAAGATTGTCATAACTCGTCTCCAAGGCCATGGATCATGTATTTATTAATAAGTGCACATCTGAGGTGTGTTTATCAGTAACATCAGTGCTGTAGATGTGAGTGTGTGAGCAGTATGAGATGTAGAAGTTATAAAGTGGGACAATAATCAACGTTTACGCACGCTAAAGGACCAGACAGACACAAAGCCGTTCACCTGTGCGCACAAAGAGGAATAATCTGGATCAGGAGAGCGACTAGCGAACCAGCAACCCTCCAGAAACCATCAACATGCTCCCAAGCAAAGCTTCAGCCACGTTCAACACTACAACACTACACAAAAACAGCTCAACGAACCCAAAGGGGAACGTTGCTACAACCTACAAGTGAAAACTCCGCACCACTTCACAAAACAATAAAAAGCAAAATCCAGGTAAGAAACTCTACAAAGCCGTGAACAAATAGTTAACTGAGCCTACAAAGTCATCCTCAAACGCGTGTCCTTTCCTCTAATCCAACACTCGCTCACACACGAGCAAACACAAGTTCACCGGCCTGCACCTGCACAGGTAAATCAGAGAATAAGGATCCATACCTGAGCGCGCTGCGAGCGCTCCCGACAAACTTTACGCATGCGCGCATCAGATTCTCGGTGGACCGTCACCCATGACGGCACTGTTCATCAGTTGTCTATCGAGGCCTGCCTCAAACGCTACTGTCTCCTGCCCTTTGTGTTTACACTGCCCTGTGTGAACTCCTTGAGAACGGTCCTCTTCCTTCTCTCCAAGGCAGTGGATAGCTTCGTCTCTGTGTACTTCAGTTGGATTGGGCTATTTAAGAAAGGGGAAAAAAGAAAATAACTAATATAATCTGAATTGGTAACTGTCAACAAAGATAAGCCTAATAATTTCCATACCTGGAGAAGCATGTCTTTTATATGTCTGATTGTCACTCCTGTAGCTCCTGTCCTTGATGGGACTTCATCCATCATTTTTGATGTGTAATGTTCAAATCTGGACATTTTCTCTGGAATTCTTTATTTATCTGTCGACCACACAAACGGAAGATTTCAGTCTTGCAGACAATTAGCTATACTGCATTAATTCATACTAAAACACATTGGCTAAAGAGGAACAGTGGTTAAAAAGCAGAGCACTGAAATGACTCACTATCACTGACTGCCATTTTGTTCCAAGTAGTCGCTCTCCATAGGGGCAACTTGGAACCAAAGACCAGGCAATAAGATGGGCCATTCAAGTACCCTGCTAAATTATTAATATTTATCCAGTTTAATATATACAAACAACAATGTAGTTTACAGCTAAACACATAAGAAGTATGAAGCTATTCCTCTACATGCTCAAATAAAAAGTTCTCTCAAGCTGAGCCGATTTGCCAAATAAAACTTTATCATTCGTATCCACTGCGATGCTACACTGAAGGGTAGAATGACTAAACTGCACTGCTAAATATGATAAGACTTAACTATGTTTATTAGTACAACTTATTCCATTAACTGTATTAACAGATGTAGCCTAACCTTCAGTCACAAGTCCACTGCTGGTCAAATCACAATTGAGAATATGCCCAAATTCTTGGGAGAATTTATTTGCAAATAAAATGATACTCACCTCAAAAATGTCCTTTGTATATCGTATTCGTTCAGCCTACAGGTCCTCTAACAGTCTTCACTGTCTGAATTTGCCCAGGCATGTGATAGGTGGGTGGGTGGGTGGGGGAGGGAACTTGAAATGCTGAACTCAAGGTGGAGAAAAATTCAGTTATCATGCAAATTGTATTAAGTTATTACAACTTGACTTTTGTTTTGAACCAATTAACGCAGAAATGTTAGTTCAAATTACACACAACATTAAGTTGACGTAATAACCAACATTATTATATCAACACATCTCAATCAATACATTAGAATTCTTTACTTCTAATCATGCATTTAATAAAGTGGTGATAACAAGGCCACTGAGTTGCTTTTTAGAGTACGTATATTTCTATAATGTTGTCAGACAACAGGAAGGTGTTGAGGTTTCCTGTTGGTCTAATGCAGCAGCAGCCCTCTGCACTTTCAGAGACCAACAACAGTGTGGGGAAAGTATCAGAGCAGCAAGTGAAACCGGCAAAAAGTGAAAAGTACAAAAAGTAAAACAAGTTCATGTTCATCTTTTACTTTTTTTAATTTAAAATCTCAACATTTCAAGACTCCTTTAAAATAATAAATAATGGGGCGCCCGGTTAGCTCACCTGGTAGAGCTGGCACCATGTACCGAGTCCCTGCTGCAGCGGCCCGAGTCCGAATCCGAGCCCTTTGCTGTGTGTCATCCCCTCTCTCTCTACCCCCTTTCCTGTCTATCTTCAGCTGTCTATCAATTAAAGGCAATAAAAAGACCAATAAATAAATAAATAATAATAATCAGCATAACTTGTAGAAGTACAGTTTATTTAGTTTATGTAAGAGTTTATTTTTTACTGTTTATTGTTTACTTTCCATATTTAGCTAAGAGTTTATTGTTTATCTTATACTGTATTTTTTTATACCTCTTTTATTTTCTATACAGTTGTTTTGTAAGCTGCTGGAAATCCAATTTCCTCGAGGGAGTCATCCCAAAGGGATCAATAAAGAGAAGTCTAAGTCTAAGTCTAAGTATGCTACATACTTTGTCACTGTTTTAGTTAAATAATAATAGTTAATTAATTAAACTCAATATGTTGCCAACCTGTTTCCAGTCTTTATGCTAAGCTAAGTTAACAGGCTGCCGGCCGTAGTTTACAGATATAAGAGTGGTGTCAATCTTCTCATCTAACTCTGCAATAAATTAGAGGTAGATGAGAAACATATTTTCACAAAATGTTGAACTAATCATTTAAGTGATGATAAAGTACAACGTCAATTTGGTTGCAGTGATTAATTAATTTACTTTTTTTTAAAAATCATATTATAATGTACAACGTCATTTCTAAAACAAATCTTTCAGTTACAGATCTTACAAAGTTTTAAAAGTTAATCTCATCCCTTCCCCCCATCTGTGAATTCATTGTACAACAGGAAACTGACACATTTATTCAAACCAATGAATAATAAAGTTTGACTGTGGGCAAGAAGGTGGTTTATAACACCCTCCCCATGCTTCATTTTGCAGGAAGGATGTTTTAACAGTTAGCTGTGAACTTGAAATAAGTTCTCTTTCAGACTCACTGAGGGTCACAACAGTAAAATGTCTGAGGCTGATGGAATAGTGTACTCTGATGTTAAGTTCACAAGACCGAAGAGAAACACCAGTGGTGAGTCTTAAATGAGATATCTATCTATCTATCTATCTATCTATCTATCTATCTATCTATCTATCTATCTATCTATCTATCTATCTATCTATCTATCTATCTATCTATCTATCTGTAGGGAACCACTTTGTAGGGTGTTGCAGTAGTGTAATCAATTCATTTTGGTTATCAAAGTTTATAATTATCAAAAGATAATAAGAAAATTACTTTAATCAATATTAAAGTTCCTTGGGACACCACCCTTAAATAAGGGAAACGATAGCCAATAGTTGATTGATCGGTCTCATAAAAATACACTAAACTATTAATTAAGAAATCGGATTAATAATTAAATGAATAACTACAACCGAAAACCATTATTAATAGTTAAAGTGGAAGGCTTTGGAGTTCTGCATAGAAGAGTTTGGTATCACCCACTCTTGTACAAAATTAAATAGGCCAGCCTTTATAAACACAAACATTTATTAATGAGATAACAATGTGTAATCTATATTAAAGGAAAATGTGTGTGTGTGTGTGTGTGTGTGTGTGTGTGTGTGTGTGTGTGTGTGTGTGTGTGTGTGTGTGTGTGTGTGTGTGTGTGTGTGTGTGTGTGTGTGTGGCATGGGGGGTTGCGTGCCAGAGAAGGTGTGTGTCCTTTGTTCTCTGACCAGATGTTTCAGTATGAAACACGTGTTGGTGAGAGACAAAGAGTATGGAGGAGCGGGGTGGGGGTTGCGTTCCCTCTCCTCATGTGTGTGTTGAGGTTTAGGCCAAATATGTGTGTGTGTGTGTGTGTGTGTGTGTGTGTGTGTGTATCATAGATTAAGTGTGCAACCTAACTTAAATACAGAGCCCCTAAAGTCCCCAAAAGGAAATATTTTTTATCTTGTGCACACACAAGATGTTTAGAGATGCAATAACAGAGAGCTATCTTTCTCAACTATCTTATCAACCTGACCCATCAATAACACAGCAAATTGACTGCTTAAATAAAGCAATAAACACAGCAATGTTTCAAACATAGTGGAGACATCAGCAAACATATGTCTATGAAGCCATAAGATAATAACTTGTGTCCATAAGATAATATCTTACATTTTTTTTCCTTTTGGGACTTAAGGGGCTCCGTACTTAAAGGAACTAAGTTAGAGGAAAAATGTGTGTGTGTGTGTGTGTGTGTGTGTGTGTGTGTGTGTGTGTGTGTGTGTGTGTGTGTGTGTGTGTGTGTGTGATCAGTTATCTGCAGATATTTGCAGCTCTTTCATCAGCAGTTTGGTTTTGTGTTTTGTGTCGCAGGGACCGTTTCCTCAGAGGCTGAACCCACATACTCTGAAGTCAGGTACTTGAAGACTCAGCCATCCACAGAGCTCCCTGGTGGGTAAAGTGGTGGACTTAAGTGCTAATTTGAGTCCTTTTTCATCCAAAAACATTTCAAGGTTTCACCTTCATGAATGTGCTTTTTTTTGTTTCCTTATTTCTTAATTGCTTTAAAGTAAGTGAATGAAAATAATCATGAGTGTTGTGGTCCTATACAAAATTAAAAAGGAATGCTGAATGATGCATTTACATTAATACAGGCACACACACACACACACACACACACACACACACACACACACACACACACACACACACACACACACACACACAGATACAGTATACAGACAACCCAGAAACAAACAAAAATGCAACAGCACAAAATAAATATAGAGATTATTACTATTATGCTGTTTGTGGTTGTTTGTTATTATGTTACATAGACCAGAAAATATTCCATATAGTTTTTACATGATGGAAAATGTGCATCCTAAAATATATCCACTATTTCAAAAGCAATATTACATTATATAAGTTTTATTGCTTTAATCTAAAAAAAAGGTGCAGAAACATCTACTGTCCACCAGACTAAAAGACAGCTTCTTCCCTCAGACTGAGAGAAATTCATCCTCAGCACTTCATCTGTGCAAAATAGGAGTTTTAATTTTTATTTTTAGGACTTACAAATAGCATAAAGGGAACTATAATCTAAACTTAATTATACAACCCTGTGTTGTAAATGACAAGGAAATAATCTTGAATTGTGTGTATTGAGTTTCATCTCAAATTAATAATATTCTACATCAGTGCTGATGATGACCTTTATGTCCCTATACTGTAAAGATAGAGTGGAGAGACAGAAAGAAAGAGAGAAAGAAAGAAAGAGAGAGAGAAAGTGAGAGAGAAAGAAAGAAAGAGAGAAAGAAAAAGGGTGGTGGATGCCTCAACTTATCTTCAATGTATGACTTTAACTTGCAGTATTTTTACAGTGTAGTATTATATTTGTAATCTAGTGAAGGAGCTGAATACTTCCTCCACTACTACATCTGGTTTGTCTGTATCTTCTGCTGGTCAACAGGTTCCCAACAACACCCAGTGTCAAATGGAGGGTCAAAGGTCACACCAGAGAGAGTGGTCATAGTAGTTCTCAGTGCTCTCCTGGCAGCTGCTGTCATCGCTCTCGGCTTTACCTGTGAGTTTGTTCTTTTTAAAGTGAATTCATCTAGACTGATTTATAAAAGCTGATCATTGTGTTGAAGAACAGAGTTTTAGTGGATTTTAATTTTGTCAGAACTGTTGATGAAATATCAGAAACTAATTAAGAAATGTCACATTTTCAGTCTTTTTAGGTTTTGAAAAATATCACCAATCTAATGTAATCTTAGATATGTGTTTAACCTCAACTAACTATACTTTTCTTGTTGTTCTTTAAAAAAAAAAAAAAATTAGATTCTAAAAACATTCAAACCATGAAACGTCTCCAAAATCTGTCAGCAGTGAACAAAAATCTCACAGGTAAGTTTGTTAGAGTTTCTGTTTGAAACTGTGATTCAGGTTCACATTGATAAATAAGAGACGATCCTGATGAAAGTGAAATTGTTTTCATAACAGAGAGACGCTGTGAAGTAAAATCATGCAACACGGTGCAGCAAACATGTCCACAACCTCCTGTAGTAAAAGAAAGTAAGTGATGGATTCTGCCTTTCTTCCATGTTTGCATCCTCTGATGATGATTAATGAACCAGTGATGTATTGACAGATACAAGAAGTCAGATTGGCAGTATATATACCTGTGAAGTAGAAAACTGTTGCCTCTGTCTGATTGTCTCAGCTGCTCTCAGATTCAAACTCGTTCATCTCAAAGTTCCTGCTGCTTCCAAATCACAAAAATATAAAGAGTGATCTGTTTCACCTGACTCAAGTCTTTACTGTGATCTCTTCAAAGATGACTCATGTACAAAATGTGAACATGGCTGGGAGCAGCATGGAAGACAGTGTTATTATTTCTCCATCAATCATTTAACCTGGAATAACAGCAGAGATGAATGCCAACAGAAAGGAGGAGATCTGGTTCAGATAGACAGCAGAGAGGAGCAGGTAAAACACACTGCTGCAGGTTCATGTAGCTCACTGGCTTTATTCTCATTTGTTTTATCACATCCTTGTGTTTCCACATTAGTTAACATAGTTAACAAAAGTCATGTTACATATTGTGTTTTTCATCAACCTTTCCTGTCCAGACATTCCTGGAGCTGAAACTGAGAGAAAAAATGAACTCTGATGAGGACAAGTTCTGGATCGGACTGACAGACTCAGAGAAAGAGGGCACATGGTTGTGGGTAGACGGCTCACCACTGAACGAGAGGTTTGACTGTTATAAATATATTTTTTGTCACTTTCCAAAATCAAAGTTATCAGTTTTATTGACAGTTCTTTTTGTTCTCTAACTCTTAGGTTGACATTTTGGAACGGCAGTGAGCCAGATAACTGGACAGTGGGAGATCGTGATGGAGAGGACTGTGTGAGGATGGGAGAGAAAACAGGAGCTCCTGATCTGAAATGTTGGTTTGATGAATCCTGCAAAGCGTCTTTCAGATATATTTGTGAGAAACCAGCAGAAACTGGACATTGTAAGTGTCTGAAGTTTAAATGAAGTCTCAGCCTCTTAAACAATCTACTTTATCTACTCTATTTAATCAAGATACAGAATTTGGAGATGTTTTATTTTTATATGTGTAATGTTACAATAAATGAATAAATAAGGAAAATATTAAAATGCAGTTTTTTTAATGTGGCCAACAATACTATTATATATTATATCATCAGACTATAGTATTCTTATGTATTAATGGAAAAGCAGCTTTTTACTGTCATAGTTTGTTGAGGTGGAGCTCATTTTTAACAGTTATCATGTTATTATATTAATTGCTGTTCATATATATGATTGTTTTCACAATTCAATGTTTTAACATGAAAAATTACTTAAACAATTATCACCAGTTTATTTTCTGTTAATCGACTAATCATTTCTGCTGTACTTGTATACTGTTGGGTAGTTACATTTATATTAAAACATAACATTTTATAAAGTCTTTGTATCTTTGTATGAAAAGTCTTCCTATTGTAAAAACAACAACTAGTAATTCAAGCTTTAAAGTAATTAATAAAAAAAGGTTCATCACCAATCCAACATCTATGATTAGTAAAAACAATAGAAACTGTTTGGTTTAGTAGATTACGGAAGCGTACTGCATTCACTTAAAAAAAACAAAACAAAAAAACATTTTTTTGCCTGTTTTTCTGACTAATTATTTTCCTGTTTTACGGAGTAATTTGTTTCTGTTTTTCGGGGTAATTTTTTTTCGGAATTATCGAGATACTTCGAACTCCCGCGAAAACCTCCAACCTGCAGTGACTCCCATGGACCTATGGTGACTGCTGCCCGCACATACATGCCCCATCTTCAACTATCTACCATACCGGGTCAATTTTGCTATGTATATATTTCTATGTCTAGCAGATCTGAATGGGCTTTCCTTCTGAACAACCGCAAAGTCCTCAGGTTCCTGCGTAGAGTCGACAAACTAATGATAATACCATCTATATGACTTAAAGACAGGACTATCTCCCAGTGTCTTAAACCCAGATCAAAGTATAACTTGACTGAACTAAACAAGCCGGTTATGTTTGTTTCCGTTAAAACGCACTCTCAATAAAGGAATGAATGTGCTTCAAATGCTCTCTAAACTCAGAAAAAAAATTATTCAGAAAAACAGAAAAAAATGAATTATTCAGAAAAACAAACCAAAAAATATGCTTCCATATATTACAACATCAAAAACAATATATAGAAATGTATGTATAGGTACATACATATAAGTAAGAAATAAATATAAAAATGGAAATATAAATATAATAAGAGCCTGTATACAGTGTATTTATGTCAGTTTTGATTTGTTTCCATTGTTGGTTACTATAGTTTATATTTATCTTCTGATCTTTATATTTTTCTTTTTCGTTTTATTGACACAGCGTGATTTTAAATTGTAACACAGCTGTGATAGTTCTCATTACACTTGTGTTACCTCAAAAATGTGCACTAATGAACATGAAATGAAAGTCCAACTGTGTTGTGTTCACAAACAGAGGAATTGGACATGGATGTTTCTGCTGTCCACTGTTACTGTCGGTAGCTACGCCTCCTGACCAGTAGGTGTCTCTGTGGGACTGTGTACAGAGTGGAAGAGGACTGCAGAATGAGGGACAGAGAAGAAGCCATTTGTCTTTATAGAAACTAAAGGAAATGGAAACAATTATTCAAACATAAAAAATGTGACTTTGGGGAACTAGACTTTTTAAGATTGTCATAACTCGGCTCCAAGGCCATGGATCATGTATTTATTAATAAGTGCACATCTGAGGTGTGTTTATCAGTAACATCAGGGCTGTAGATGTGAGTGTGTGAGCAGTATGAGATGTAGAAGTTATAAAGTGGGACAATAATCAACTTTTATGCACGCTAAAGGACCAGACAGACACAAAGCCGTTCACCTGTGCGCACAAAGAGGAATAATCCTCAACCCGGCTAACTAACCTCCCCCTAGTCTTCATATAGCTAGTTGTGGTGGGTGTTTACGCACTGGAGACCTCTGGATCAAGAGAGCGACTAGCGAACCAGCAACCCTCCAGAAACCACGGACATGTTCCCAAGCAAAGCTTCAGCCACGTTCAACACTACAACACTACACAAAAACACAAAGCCGTGAACAAATAGTTAACTGAGCCTACAAAGTCATCCTCAAACGCGTGTTCTTTCCTCTAATCCAACACTTGCTCACACACTCGCAAACAAAAGTTTACCGGCCTGCACCTGCACAGGTAAATCAGAGAATAAGGATCCATACCTGAGCGGGCTGCGAGCGCTCCCGACAAACTTTGTGTGTACGCGCATCAGATTCTCCAGTGAAAACTACACACTAGGAAAACCCCACAAAACCAAGGCTAAGAATAATTTCAATGTTGGTCATTTAGGTACCAAATACCTCATTCACAAATGGACACATGGATGGATAGAAAGAACTGAAACTTGTCCTCCACATCTGCATTGCAGCAGCATCTATCTATCTATCTATCTATCTATCTATCTATCTATCTATCTATCTATCTATCTATCTATCTATCTATCTATCTATCTATCTATCTATCTATCTATCTATCTAAAACACACCAAATACTTCTTAATGATCAATGGAGGTTGATCATGCCTTGAAAGTTGGTGCTTCCAATTCCCACAGGTCTTTCATTTCTTACAACTCTGCATAAAAGTAGTGTTGGAACACACTGTGGTTTGAATTACAGAAAGTATTGTGTTGCTATAAAAATGGCGAGAAAAACGCAATTAACAATGGAAGAGAGACAGACCATCATTCTCAGTCTCCCTCACCATCAAAAGGCACTCAGAAACTGGGGCAAACTCTGACAGGAAGAGGTCTGGCAGACCCAAAGCCACAACAGAATCAGATGATATTTCTGAGAGTCAACAGCTTGCGTGATAGGCAGCTCACAGGACAACAGCTTCAAGCTCAGCTTAATAGTGGTCGTAATACTGGGGCTGCTTTGTTGGATCCAGGGTGGGTGACTTGTACAGAGTGAGAGGCACCCTGAACCAAAACGGCTACCACAGCATTCTGCAGTGCCACACAGTTCCCTCTGGTATGCACCTAGTTGGTCAGGGGTTCATCCTACAGCAAAGATAATGACCTAAAACATAAGTCCAAGCTATGCCAGAACTACCTTAGGAAAAAAGAACAAGACGGTAAGTTTGAAAACATGGAGTGGCCAGCACAGTCACCAGACTTAAACCCCATTGAGCTGGTTTGGGATGAACTGGACAGAAGAGTGAAAGCAAAGCAACCTACAAGTGTCACACATTTGTGTGAACTTCTCTAACAGAGTTGGGAAGAACTTTCTGAATAATATTTGATTTCCATTGTAGAAATAATGCCATGAGTGTGTTCAGCTGTTATATCTGCCAAAGGTGGCGACTTTGATGAGTCTAAAGTTTAGAAATGGTTTATAAATTGATTCCATGATTTCTTTTCTTAACTTCAACTGTTTATTAGTTCCAAGCTTTCATTTCAGAGTACAATGAGACGTTGAACTGCATGAATTTCAATGTATGTATTTATATTTAAATTGTTGTTATGTTGTCAGACAACAGGAAACGTAAATGTCAAGGTTTCCTGTTGGTCTAATGCAGCAGCAGCACTCTGCACTGTCAGAGACCAACAACAGTGTGGGAAAGTCATCAGAGCAGCAAGTGAAGCAGGCAGCCATGAAATGTACAAAAAGTTCATGTTCATTTTGTTTTCATTTAAAAACTCAACATATAATTTTTTTTTAAAATAATAACTCCATCTTGTAGAAGTACAGTATGCTTCATCATTTGTCACTGTTTAACAACACATTGATTAATTAAAGCTCAATAATTAACACATTATATCTTGTTTAGTGTAAAAATGAAACGCTGTGGTTTTACAGGGTGTTATGTCCCAGACTATTTCTTTGGCCAGAGGAGTAACTTCCTGGAGTCAGCATGAGGTTGCCAGGCAACCAGTGGAGACTCCAGGTAATTACAGTGATAATTAGAGAGTTTTAAATGTCCAGTCTTTATGCTAAGCTAAGCTAAAAGGTTGCTGACTGTAGCTTACAGATATACGAGTGGTGTCAATCTTCTCATCTAACTCTGTGCAATAAATTAGAGGAAAATGAGAAACATATTTTCACAAAATGTTGAAGTAATCATTTCAGCTATGATAAAGTACAATGTCATTTCTAAAATAAATCTTTCAGTTACAGATATTACAAAGTTTAAAAAGTGAATCTCGTCCCTTCCCCCCATCTCTGAATTCATTGTACAACAGGAAACTGACACATTCATTCAAACCCAAAGAATAAAAACACTTGACTGTGGGCAAGAAGGTGGTTTATAACGCCCTCCCCTAAATGTCTGAGGCGGCTGTAATAGTGTACTCTGATGTTAAGTTCACAAGTCTGAAGAGAAACACCAGTGGTGAGTCTTAAATAAGATATCTATCTATCTATCTATCTATCTATCTATCTATCTATCTATCTATCTATCTATCTATCTATCTATCTATCTATCTATCTATCTATCTGTGTGAAACCTTTTTTAAAACATACCAAATACTTCCTAAAGCAGTTTTTATTTGTTCTAACTGGGAAACTTGATGTCCACAGTGACACAAATTATTTCTGCATTTTGGTTTTGTGCTTTTTGTCACAGAGAAAGTTTCCTCATCGACTGACAGCACTTAATCTGAAGTCAGCATCTGGTATCTGACACAATGAGCCGTCCACAGGGCTACATAGAAGGTAATAACCAGTGAATGTAACTGAGTACATTTAATGAAGTACTGGACTTACAGGACGTTATGTCCCAGACTATTTCTTGGGCGGAGGAGTAACTTCCTGGAGTCTTGTTGTCAGCATGAGGTATTTACAGTGATAATTAGAGAGTTTTAAATGTGCCTATACATTCAAACAGAGCTAGGCTAGCAGTTTCCCCCTGTTTCCAGACTTTATGCTAAGCTAACAGGCTGCTGGCACACGTCATCTTTTGAGTGATGTGTTGGGTGGGAAAATGGTGGGATCGTCATCCTTAACCGTTAAAAAAAAAGCTAAAGCCCTAAGATCTGCTGCTTTTGCTAAAAGGGGAGCATACACCGGCTGCGACAGCAATGTTTCCAATTCTAACATGTCTGGTGAAAGTTTCATTTCTGGCAATGGTTCAGCTAAAAGATCACTTCAGACCTTTAGATACGCCTCCGAAACTGCCACACAATCATGTGGAGTACCATCATGTG